CTTCAGGGAAAGTAGGAGATTATTTTATACTTGAGATTGCCTTATAGTTGTGTACATGTGGTAGATGCTAAATTTCGATAAACTGAGGGTGGTGGGGTGGAGGAGGAATAGATCCACACAGCTAGCCTACCAAGCATAGCTCTGCTCCTTCTACCAGGAACATAAACGAGCGTGTGCTAAACGCACAGGCTACACAGGTGGGAGCGGGAGAGCGGGCGCACACCCACAAATAAACGTAGATCTGACATATCTGAAGGTGTGTATTTACTTTTGCTACAAATACAGCCATGACTGGGGCAGCACACAGAGGGACGTCACGACAACTTTAGAGGAGCAGTAGCGGCTGGGGGTCAGAGCCATGGTTTCAGGGATATTTTGGTGAGTAGTGACTGGTGTCTTCAAAGCTCCTGACAGCCCTTTACCGTGCAAACACTGGTCTTTCCGCATCCAGAAGATAAGAGCGAGAAACGCAAACACACATGCAAACAAGCCGCGCAATGAACCAATGGACGATGCGAACAAACGTGTCTACCAGCCTGAGACCAGAAGAACTAGACCAGTGCTCTCAACCTGCCTCGTGCGTGACTTTCATACAGTTCCTCATGTTGTGGGGACTCCCAACTATGTAATTTCCGTGACTACTTCATCACTGTCATTTTGCTACTGTTATGAATTGGGCGACCCTTGTGAAAAAGGGTCGTTTGACCCCCACAGGGGTCACGACCCACAGGTTGGGAACCGCTGTCCAAATGGCGCCCAGCTACTACTGCTGACTACTCCACAGAGATTCACATGAGAGGGCACCGAATAGAGGGGCGATGTGGAACAGAACCCAAATCATATAAAGACTAGGCGCACTAGGAGGATAGAGTGGTGGGCCCTCCAAGACGATGGCCCTGAGTCACCCTTCAGTCTGGAACTGAACTTATCTCTCCTGTATTTGAATAATAAGCTATAATGAGATTGAATCGTTTGTATTTTTTAAGACAATAAAATAATGCCACAGCAAAAAAAATTACAAATAAGTTTAATCAACTTAACAGCTGTAACTTGAAATCTCTCAACAGCCGGACTCCTAGGGTCTTTCCTGGAACACCTGCCATTTCTGCTTTCAGAATCGGCCCTGGTTCCTGGCCTGTCACTCGGGGCCACTGGAAGTCTCTCCCATCTGAATGATCTCATCTCCTGCCACACAGACACACAGCCTCCACTCTGGTACGCCTTTTCCTCGTAGTTCCCAGCCAAGCCTGAGCCCTCCCTCTCACGGGAAAGGCTGCCTCCCACTCCATCCTGTACAGCCCACCTTCAGGCCCCCACTCTCCATGGAGTCACCTGACAGCTCAGCCCAAAGCTGGCTCCCCACTCTCTGAAATCCCAGTGCAAGGCAATTACAGCACAGCTCCTAACTACATGGGAGTGTACCGTATTCTGTGAAGCTTCTGGCATCTTCTCCCCCCCACCCCCCACCCCCGGAGAAAAGAATTTTGAGAGCAGGGCCCAGGTATTCTCCTTCAGAGGGGCTGTGCACATGACGTGACACTGTTGAGTGGCACCTGTTATTTCCAGCGCAGGATGCTTTTGCTCCAGTAGACTGTACCAATGGCCGCACCACAAGGAAAACGGGAGTACAGTCTTCTGTGAACAGCAGTATTTGGCAAGGCTGTTACCGCTTGAGCCTGTGCCAGTGTTAACCCGCTGGCCTGAATCACAGAGCCGTTACACTGGGGTTATTCCAGATGGCACAACAAGGTAGGGAGCCACTAACAGAAGCAACACCACAGTATCTTGCTTCCTAGAGTCACAAAAGGGAAATACACCAGCAAATACACCCTTTTCAAGTAGGAACTGTCAAAAAATATCCCAAACCTCACTATTCCTCAAAACCTTCAACACCAAGGGAACACCACCTTGATCTAAGCCACCATCAACTCTCACCGGGAGTCCTGCAATCGCCTTCTGACTGGTGTCCCTGCATCCCTCTCCCCTCCCCACAATCCGCTCTCAACCCTAACCCAAATAAGCCTATGAAAAATGCAAGCAGGATTTTAAAACATAAATAACAAGAGCTAGCAGATTGTGTCACCCCATTTCTTAAAACCCTCCAATCAGCCTGGGTCCTGGCAGGAAACAGATGGCACATTTGAATTATGTAATTGGAGGAACGTTTCTAAAGGAAGTGTGGGCAAAGGTATAGCGAGGTGTAAGAAACCAGTCAGTCCTCCTGGGCTGGCAACACAGGCGGAGGCTGTTTGATCCCCTCCAAGTGTGAGTGAAGGCGTAAAGGGAGGAGTGGTGAGGAGACAGCAATCTAGAGAAGGGACCTGGCAGGGGACATGACTTTCCTGAGTCTAGGGAGCCTGCCAGGCACACAACCTGCAGGGAGAGATTACATACGTCGAACACTACTCCAGGATGGCCAAGTACTACCAGAGATCACAGGTCTGGCCCCAGAACCACAGAACAGGGTGGACAGGGGTGAAGAGTGAAGCCTGGGGGGTGGGGTAAGGGTGGAAGTCAATGCCAAGTTGCCAGCCAAATAACTTCCTGTTGCAATAAAGGCATTTCAGAGTAGCTGCAATGGCCTCTAAAACCCTACATAATCCCACCTCAACTCCTGTTCCTCGGACTGACCTCTCCTCACAATGGCTCTCTCAAGCGCAATCCTGCCTCAAGCCGCTTGTACTTGCTTTCTCTTCCCTCAAATGTACACCTGGCTGGCTCCCTCAGTCACTGCAGGTCTCAGATGCTCACATCAGAGATTGCCTTTTGCTGCCTTACATACAAACCCCCCCTGCCATGTTCCTACCGGCACACACACTTTATTCCCCGAATCCTGGAAATACTTTTTTCAGCAGCACTTCTCACTAAATTTACACACACACACACACACACACACACACACACGCGCGCGCGCGCGCGCCTCAAAATGTTCACAAAAAACTTCCATATTTTAATTGTTCTATAAACTTTTTGAAGAGCTCTCATATGTGTGCATATACACATATTTTCCTCTTCTTTTAAAATTGCCTCCCTAGCCTAGACCAAGTTTCATGAAGGATCAATTTGGCCTCCTTTATGCACTGATTTACTCCCCGGTATGTAGAAGGCACTCGAGTTATTTGTTGAATGGGTGAAAACGAATGAAGGGAACAGAAGCACCCACAGCTTAGGGCTCTTTCCACAGTTTTAAGGTTTAACTCCTACCATCCAATTATTGTTTAAGAAACCACTCAGCTAGGAAGCAGAGGACAGGCCCACAGCGGAGCTTCAAGTAAAGCCCTGTGAATAAATGGAAGTTTCAGGAGGAAGCAGATTATGAACAAACCAACTTCCAATTCCCTTTTTTCCATCCGCATCTATCCACATTATTATCTGCTGGGAAAATTCATTTAACTTTTATATAAGAGGTGACTTCCTATCATCTTAGAACAAAAGGCTTGTCCTGAATCAACTCAACAACCTATCACTGCAAAAATCCCATCTGGAGTTTGTTGATGGGAAATTCCTTTGCAACCTTCTGCAAGCCCTCTGTGGAAGGAAGCCACAGTGGGCTAATAAACTGCAGGACTCGAGTCCAAAGGTGAGGGTTTCCTTCTCGACCCCCAAACTGACGAAGCATAAATGTCCAGTTAAAATAGTTTCTGTGTCCGATGTAGATAACCCTTGTAATTAATTTAGTCATAAATATACAACATAATCATCCCTATTGATTTTTCTCAGAGCCCTGACTTCTGGTAGAAACAACAGAGGCAAACCTACTAGGTTTAAGCCTGGGGACAGATACCCACTGCCTTCAAGTTATGCCAACTCATAGTAACCCTACGGGACAAGGTAGAAGTACCCTCGTGAGTTTCCGAGACTGTTAATTCTCTTTTTAAAAAGATCATTCTATTGGGGGCTCTTACAGCTCTTAAAACATTCCATACATCAATTGTATCAAGGATATTTGTATATATGTTGCCATCATTTTCTAAGCACTTACTATTTGAGCCCTTAGTCTCAACTCCTCCTTTTTCTCTCCCTCCCCCAAGACTGTAATTCTTTAAGAGAGTAAAAACCCCAAATCTTTCTCCTGCAGAGGGCTGGTGGTTTCGAACTGCTGACCTTGCAGCTAGCAACCCAATGTAACCATTAGGACACCAGGACTTTCTTGGGACTGATGTTAGGAAGATCTTAATTTAGCAAACGGCCTCATGAAGCATTGTGAGTGCTAAAAAGTGCCTCCTAACCAGTTCTCCTATCTCTCTACAACAACTAACAAACTTAGGGGCAGTTCCCAATTAGAGAATGAGAAAAATAAGGTGAAAGCTTATCTTTTCAAAGTGCTAAATTCCGTGCTACTTCTAGGCCTTTGAGCACAAGGCGTTCAGAAAGCGACACTTTCCCTAGGCACTTCTGTGGGTTTTCCGGTCTCCCCGCCACTCGTCCCAGCGCGGCTCCCGGTCTGGGGCTGTGTTCGTGTGATCTTTGTATGTAGCGTTTAACTTTGTGTCCAACACACACAGCTGGCGCTCCCATTCACATACTTGTCTGACTTCTAAAACGCTCACCCCCGAGGCAGGCCCAACCCGGCTCTGCAGTCGGATATTAAGCAGATTATGGAGTAGCGTGGTGGCCGGATGGCCGCTTCCCTGCCCCCGACTAAGTCCCGAAACCGCAAACGACACCGTGCGTCCCCGAACCTCACGCAGCCCAGGCACAAGGGAGTGGGCTGTGGGACCCGCCCGCGCCGCCTCCGTCCGCCGGGCGCAGAACAAGTTTCTCTCCTCTAAGGGAGAGCGACCGCGCCCCGAGTAACGTCCCCTTCCCAATTTGGCCCCCGCAAGTGCTCCACGCCGAAGCCCCAGCCGGGCGCCCAGAGCCTCCCAGCGGGCAGGGGTCGCGGTGCACTGTGGGATTGGTAGTTCCGCCGTGAGTTCCCCCGCCGTGAAACCCTACGGACCGGACTCCCGCTCCCAGAAGCCGCCGCGCGGGCGCCTCGCCCGCTCCTGCCACCTCACCTGTTCTATGGACGTGACTGTTTCCACCGAGTCGTCCTGCAACCGCTCCCGCGTGTGCTCCGGCCTCAGACTGTACAGCGGCTCTGACCAGACCGGGGCGGAGGGTGGAGGGCAACAGTAGGTGAAGGAACTCGGAGAAGCCATGATCAGGAGGACAGCAGGCGGTGTACTGGACTCGGCTTCACCAAGCAACAACGCGCATTGAAACTCGAGCGGGCAAAGGCGCTACGGCGAGCGGGAGGAGTCAAAAAGAGTTTGACGGCGAATCTCTCTCCACCTACGAATCTTCGAGGAGTGAATCACTTGATGCTGCCGCCCCCTATCGGACAGAGGAGCTTCTGCAAGAGACTGCATATCCGGCGCCCGGGAAGGAAAGATGTGGTCATGTGCATTTCATTTCGGAGAGATGGCACAGATGCCTCGCTTCCGTTATGTAATTAAAAAAGAAAAATTACTTGCAACACAGTGCTAATTCTTTCTTAATTGTAATGACAAGAGTTTGCAGTTTTTAATGCCCAGGAACCAAATGAGGGTGGCTTTAACAATCTTTCTGACAGCTCCTCATTGCCACTGCCCCAAACAAGCTACGAACTTCTCAACAAAGGTGAAATTTTGCCATGCTAGGACTCAGTGGTTATTTATGGATTGAATTATATCCCTCCCCCCGAAAAAATGTGTTATAATTCCTAACCTCTAAATTACGTATAGCCAGTGGTTCTAATTCTGTTTAGGAATTATGTATCCGTCTTTGTGAATGAAGCAGCATTCGGTGTAAAGTGTGGCTGGAGTGAACCTCGGAGCCATAAAAACCGAGTTGGAGGAAGAGAGGTGATCTACCACGTGAAGTTTACCAAGGAGCCAAGGAATGGAAGCCGAAGGACAAAGACCTACCCCCCAGAGCCCCGGCCCTGAATTCAAATTCCTAATCTCCGAAACTGTGAGAAAATAAATTTCTGTTCGTGAAAGGGACCCACTTATACTTCTGTTACCGCCGCACCAGAACTAAGACAGTGACAGAGGGAAAGGGCCGTGTCATGGGGGTCAGAGTGCAATCGAAGGAGCTGAAATGCAATAGAAGCAACAACGACTTTGTGATTGAAACCGCCATGAAATCGAGGCCCTCGTAGAAACACACCTTCCTTCATATGAATACAGGTGCAATAAGTGCCGCGGGGTCAAATCCAACTCATTCACACTGACCCTGGGTGATGGGGCAGAATTAGCCCAATGGGGGTGGGGCGGCTGGAGGGGTGGAGCCCTCACCATTGTAGAAGCTGACCTCCAAATCCTTCTCCCGTGGACCCTTTGGTGAGGGGGGCGTGTCAAATCACTAGTCCCTCAGCCAAGTGTTTCACTGCTGAGCTGCCAGGTGCTAACACTACGAACCCCAAAGTGAACAGAAGTGAAAGGCCCCGGCACACTTTTGAGATGGAAGAGCCAATCCTGTACCTCACAACAATTTAAACATTATTTGAAAGCCATAAGCATATTGTTACAAGGAAACTGCCATTATCTGAATAACATCCTTAAACATTTTTAATAAATGAAACGGTGAGTTTTATTGTCATTTTCTTTCTTTTTTAGATTAATAAATCATTTTATTGGGGGCTCTTTTTTTTTTAACATTTTATTAGGGGCTCATACAACTGTTATCCCAATCCATACACACATCAATTGTGTAAAGCGCATTTGTACATCGTTT